TGCTTCATGTGCATTTCATTTCTGTCCTGCAGACCTCTACAGCGGGTGTTAGTATCATCTTTATCACAGATGAGGACATCTAGGTGCAGAGTTTTTTTTTTTTTTTTTTTTCCTTTTCTTTTTCTTTTTTTTTTTTTTGACAGGCAGAGTTAGTGAGAGAGAGATAGAGAGAAAGGTCTTCCTTCCATTGCTTTACCCCCCAAATGGCTGCCACAGCCAGCGCGCAGCGCCAATCTGAAGCCAGGAGCCAGGTGCTTCCTTCTGGTCTCCCATGCGGGTGCAGGGCCCGAGCACTTGGGCCATCCTCCACTGCCCTCCCGGGCCACAGCAGAGAGCTGGACTGGAAGAGGAGCAACCGGGACAGAATCTGGCGCCCCGACAGTGACTAGAACCCGGAGTACTGGCACTGCAGGCAGAGGATTAGCCTAATGAGCCGCGGCACCAGCCAAGAGTTTGAGTTTATTTATTTATTTTTTTTAAGGTTTATTTATTTGAAAGGCAGAGTGGCAGAGGGCAAGAAAGAGATAGATTTTCCATTCACTGGTTCATTTCCTGCAAATGGCCATAGCAGGGCTGGGCTAGGCTGAAGCCAGAAGCCAGGAACTTCATCTGGGTCTTCCACATGGTTAGCAGGGGCCCAAGTACCAGGGCAAGCATCTGCTGCCTTCCCAGGAGTGTTAGCAGGGATCATAAGCGGAACGCCTGGGACTCAAACCAGCCCTCCTTTGCCAGTGTCAACAAACAGGCTTAACCTGCTGCGCCACAACTGCAGCCCCAGAGTTTGATTAATCTGCAGTCAGAGTTGGGCTTTTAACCCAGATACTTGGCTCCAAAGCCCACGTTCTTAACCAGTCCTTGCTTATGTGATCCTGAGGTTTGTTTCTGTTTTCTGTATTCTCAGCTCTTGGAATATCCTGAATGTCTGGAATTACCTGTATTTTATTTGATTTACAATTTTTATTTATTTTTATTTTCTTTGAAAGACAGAGATCTTCTATTTGCTGTTCACAGATGCCCGGAACAGTCAGGGCTGGGCCTCCACACGGGTGGCAGGAGCTAAGTACTTGTGCTATCACCTGCTGCTTCCCAGGCACATTAGCCAGAACCTGGGTCAGAAGCAGCGTAGCTGGGAACTCAAGCCAGGCATTCCATTATGTGATATAGACGTCTGTGCCAAACACCTGCTCCGTGGAATAGCTATATTTTATAATACTGATTTTTGGTTCTTGGCATTTCCTACAAGTTTGGATGGGTGAGACAAGAGGGTGGTCAGCAGTGCCTCTGCCTTAATCCAGAAACCTTTATCCCCTTTGCTCGTGGAAGCATGAAAAGAGGTGGGCTTTGCTGTATTTGCAGCTCTGGTTTCACAGGCCAGAGGTCACATTCTTGTATGGTAGGCAGTGTCACTGGGACACTTTCCTGACTCCTGTTGCTGCTGCACTCTGGGGTGAGGGTGTGGAGGGTGGGGGTGTACACTTCTAGCTTCTGGTAGTTGGCCCTGGTCACCTCCTCAGTGAATATATCTGGTCTGCCATTCCTGAGTAGGAAGGAGACGGCTTACATGAGGATTAGGGGGCCTTCCTCTTTCTCCTCTTCAGTGTCCACCTAAATTCTTTGTTTCAAAATAATAAATGTAGTTTTCATCTGTTTGAAAGGCAGAGTGACCGAGAGGACTATCTTTTATTTAAAGATTTATTTCTTTGAAAGAAAGATCTTCACTCCCCAAATGACCTCAACAGCCGGGGCTGAAATGGGTAGCAGGGGCCCAAGTACTTGTGCTGTTTGTCTGCTGCCCTCCCAGGTGTGTTAACAGGAAGTTGGATTGAAAGAGTAGCAGGGGGCCGGCGCCGCTGCTCACTAGGCTAATCCTCCACCTTGTGGCGCCGCCACACCAGGTTCTAGTCCCGGTTGGGGCGCCAGATTCTGTCCCGGTTGCCCCTCTTCCAGGCCAGCTCTCTGCTGTGACCAGGGAGTGCAGTGGAGGATGGCCCAAGTGCTTGGGTCCTGCACCCGCATGGGAGACCAGGAGAAGCACCTGGCTCCTGCCATTGGATCAGCGCGGTACGCCGGCCGCAGTGCGCTGGCCGCGGCGGCCATTGGAGGGTGAACCAACGGCAAAGGAAGACCTTTCTCTCTATCTCTCTCTCACTAACTCTGCCTGTCAAAAAAAAAAAAAAAAAAGAAGAAGAAGAAGGAAACTGGGTTGGAAATGGAGTAGCCAGGACTTGAAATGGTGCTCTAATATGGGATTTGGGTATCCCAAGGGTGGCATAATTTATACCACAGCACCTACCCCTCAGTATTTTTTTAAGGTTTATTTATTTGAAAGAGTTACAGAGGAGAGACAGATCTTCCGTCTGCTGGTTTATTCCCCAGATGGCTGCAATGGCTGGGGCTGGGTCAGCGTGAAGCTATGAGCTTCTTCTAGGTCTCCCATGTGGGTAGCAGGGACCCAGGCACTTGGGCCATCCTCCACTGCTTTTCCCAGGCCATAGCAGAGAACTGGATCGGAAGTGGAGCAGCCAGAACTCAAACTTGCACCTATATGAGATGCCAGCATTGTAATCAGTGGCTTTACCCATTATACCACAATGCTAGGCCCATTTTTTTACTTCCTTCAGCACTTATTTTTTGATTGAATGATTTGAAAGGCAGAGTTACAAAGAAGCAGAGGGAGAGAGGTCTTACATCCGCTGGTTCACTCCCCAAATGGCTACAATGGCTGGAGCTGAGCCAATCCAAAGCCAGGAGCCAGGAGCTTCTTCCGGGTCTCCCATGCGGGTGCAGGGACCCAAGGACTTGGGCCATCTTCTGCTGCTTCCCCAGGCCACAGCAGAGAGCTGGATCGGAAGTGGAGCAGCCGGGACTCGAACCAGCTCCCATATGGGATGCCAGCACTGCAGGTGGTGGCTTTACCTGCTACGCCACAGTGCCAACCCCCCTCTACTTCTTAAAAGCATACAGAAGTGGTTGAAACGCCACTGCACTTCATGGAATCATTGGCTAGAACTGAGTTTTCCATGACCAACACAGTTGAATCGAGTTGAATCAAGCCCAGACGAGACCATGCTCCTTCCTGGGACTCTTGCTGGACAGTGTCCAGTGACTGTTCTGTTTTTTCTACCTCTTAGCTATCATCCCTTCCTCTATGCCATTTGGTTGTAGGGGCAGGCTAACCCGGCCCTTCCTACTTTCTGCAGGGGACTGGGAAGTGGTATGAATTACAGGACCTCCAGGTGACTGACATCCTTCCCCAGATGATCACCCTGTCAGAGGCCTACATTCAGGTGGGTGTGAGCCCAGGGAGAGGGGTGATGGGGGCCGAGGCAGGAGGTGGGATTGAGCTAGAATCTCGGTGGCAGTCCGGGAGCTTAGCGGATGTACTGAGGGAGGTGGGGCCGCATTACATGGCCTAAAGGTCACACAGAGATTTTCAGAAAACGAGGAGAGCAGGGAAGCGTGGCTGGCTATGAGTGAGCAGAGGAGGTGGTGGTTGTGAGCAGGTTAGTTTTGCAGATGTGCGGTCTGCCGTCAGGGAGGAAGGGCCTGGACTCCACAGGGAAGCCGGCCAGGAGTCGTCCTGAAGCGTTGCCCACGGCCCCGGGCAGGTTAGCCCTTCTCTCTGTGACTCAACAGTGTTTTCTCCATTCTCTCACGTGGGGTGCCAGCCGCAGCCCGAGGGCTGTCTGGTCTTCACTGAGTTGAGAACTCTGCAAGCACAGTCCTCTTTTCTAGCTGCCTTAGTACCTGGTAACAGCGGGCAGACTGAGACTAGGAAAAGCCAAAGCTTTGCAGAAGAGGAGACTTCTGTTTCCTCAGTGGCTTCGTCTGAGGTTATAGACTTGGCCACGTGTGCTTTTTCAGAAAGGACGTTTGGAATGGAAACGAAGAGAAAGGGTGGGTAGAAGAATGCAAATGGAAGGAGAGGGGTCCTCTGGCAGGCGTGCAGCAGATAGGTCAGGGTGACGGTTGTCTCTTACCTGGCACAGCATAGGTTTTTGATAAATATCTGTTCACTGAATGCCTCCTAGACCAGCTGGTCAGTGTCTGTTTTCATTTCTTACAGATTTGGAAGAGGCGCGATAATGATGAAACCAACCAGCAGGGGGCTTGAGGGGAGCCGAGAGCACTGACACTGTGGCTGATCTCAGCCGGAGTGGCAGGTCTGGCAGCCCCGCGTCTGTGGGCTCTGCCTGCCACAGAGCATCAGAGCCGCCCGCCCGCCCACCTGGGGAGGCTCTGTGCTGTCACCAGCTGCCTTCGATCGACTTACGGAGATGGATGCGCCTTTCTCCTTCCTGTCTAGCTGCCTTTCCACTTCCGCAGGGCAGATCTTTGCAGATGTATATAATTTATTTCTGAGTGACTGGGAGTATCTGAAGGACAGGTAGCTTCCTCCACACATCGAGCCTCGAGATCCTGGGAGTAAGCATGGAGCCTGTAGCCCCTCTGTCTGTAGATTATTTTCCTGTGCCCCCTTCATTTCCTGATGTGTTTTTGAAATGGATTAAATATTTTCCTGTTTTTAAACCAGGCTGTGTTTTATATCCTCTTAGGCAGCTGGCTAAGGGCAGGATTTATTTTCTTTTAATCTACACTTGTCTGCCCTGCAGTCTGTCACCTGGGGGACATCGTGCTGTCTCTCCCTGTCAGTCTGGGTGGGAGTGGCTGCATTTGCCTCAGAGTAGGAAACCGTCTGACTCAAAGTGCTGAATTCGTGCTGGCTGGTGGCCGCCGGGGGCAGTTCAGGCTGCGTGGGGCTCAGTGGGGGGGAAGGAAGGAGACGCAGGGAGCTGCTCACGTCAGTGCACTTCTGAGTCTCAGCCAGGCCCGTGCGTGCCCCAGCGCAGAGTGCCCATGGGAAGTCAGGTGGAAAGGGCCTCCAGCAGGCTCCGACACTGACTCTGAGCTGCCTGGAGGAAGAGTGGGCTCAGCACCCCCTGAAGCAGGTCCAGATAGGGAGTCCACTACGGCACGTCCTCTTGATGTATTTATTTTTTAAAGATTTATTTTATTTATTTGTAAGAGTTAGAGATTGAGCTCTTCCGTCTGCTGGTTCACTCCCCAAATGGCTGCAATGGCCAGGGCTGGGCCAGCCAGGAGCCAGGAGCTTCTTCTGGATCTCCCACATGGGTGGCAGGGGTCCAAACACTTGGACCATCTTCTGTTGCTTTCCCAGGCGCGTTAGCAGGGAGCTGGATCAGGAGTGGAGCAGCTGGAACTCAAACTGGTGCCCACATGGCATGCCGGCACTGCAGGCGGTGGCCCAACCTGCTGGGTCACAGCACCAGCCTCTCTCTTCTGTATTTTGAACTTCGTAGACTGTGAGCAAGTAGCGGTAAAGCCAGTCTCTGGAGTGAGGTGGGGGTGGGGGTGGGGAGGCAGTATTTGGTCAGCCTGGCCCCTGGGAGGCTGTGGGAGCCTCGTGTGGCTCTGCTGGAGTGAAGGCTGTGGGGTCTCTCTGCAGACCTGCTGTGGGGCACACGGCTCTTGCTGCTTGCCGGACAGGACAGAAGTGGCTCTGGTGTTGGGCTGTGATTCAGGCTGGGACAGACGAGGTGGAGGCAGGGCTGTGGCTACACACTGGGGTCTTGCATCCACCAGTGCAAGGTCCTTTTGAAGAAGGGTGGCGAGGAGGGCGCGCGTGGGCAGCTGGCAGGGGGGAGACTACAGGCCTGGCTCCCGCTTTGCGGCTCAACAGGGTGAGGACAGGGTAGGGCCATGTGTCTCATCCAGGAACCCAGGGTCCAGTGAGGGCAGACTTGGGACCAGCACCCAGGCCTGCCTTGTCAGCCCACTGCCCATCTTGTGTCAGCAGAGAAGGCTGGGAGCCCTGGGACCTGGGAAGGGGAGACTGGCCTGTTCTGGGGGGTTCTCTGGCCGCCATGGGGATGGGTAGGGGTTCTCCTGAAGGTGCGCCTGAGGCCCTCAGGGGAGGGAGCTGATGAGCATGGAGCAGCCTGAGAACAAGACCTGCCCACCCCCCACCCCACCATGGGCCTGGACTCACCTGGACAGCTGAGTCCTCAGAAGTGAGGGCTTTGGATGCACTGGAGAGGGCTGAGCGTGGCCACACACGCCCCCAGGGCCTGCCACAGGGGCGGTATTAGGGCCTGGCCTGGGCATCTCTGCTCCCCACTTCAGCTCTGAGGGGGCCACAGAGCCCCCTCCCCCTCTGCCCCGGAAGGCACAGCTCTCAGTCCACCTGCTGCCTCCGTGGATGCTCTTGGAGTGACCTCACAGACACAGGCTGGAGCCACAGTTGGAGGAGGTGGGCATTCACCCCCTAAGACCCTTGTGCGCCCGCATACCTGGTCAGCGAGCCCAGCCCCATTCCATAATAGGCATCAGACTGTACTCGGCCGCCCCTCCCTTCCCAGACTGCTCCTCCCCTTTCTGTTGCGACTTCCTTACCACTTGGAGACAGCCTTTTCTATGTGAACACGGAGCGCCTCCCAGACCGCGCCCCTGCCCCTGGGAGAGCAGGGCCCCTGAGGACCACAGGCTGGAAATGGCGGGACTCTGGGAGTTCAGGGATGTGCTAGGACCAGCTGTGGGGCCGGGCGAGTACCTGGCAGATTGCGCGGGCATCCCAACCCCTGGACAGCAGGCTCAGCAGCTGGGGCGTGTGCAGCTCCACAAATTGTTCACACTGGAGGGAGGCACAGACTTGCTGGAGGCTGAGGGGTGGGGGCCGAGGCCCTGCCCTGGCCTCTCCTGCCTTCTTGTTCCTCCTCCCTGTTCGCTCTGGGTGTAGCTCCAGCCATTGGCCCTCAGCCACCATGGCTGGAAGCAGAACCTCTGCGAGCTGGAGCCGGCCAGAATGGGGGATTTCTGCAGGAAAATCTGGGCACACTGGTGCTGCCTCTGCGCAGAGATGCAGGCAGCTTGCCTCAGATCACCGTCCTGTCATTGCTTCTGGACATTGGCCGAGCCCCTGGGACTCTGCAGGTGGGCTTGTCCTAAGGTACATTGCAGGGAGGGTGGGGTGGGCACAGGAGCTTGGAGAGAAGGCCAGGCAGGCCCTTTCCTGGCTCCAGGGGTCTGGCCTCGCTCATCTGGTATCCACCAGACAGTGGCAGATGCCACTCACAGCAAGGTCACCAGGTGGCACCCTGGGGCCACAACTGCAGGTAGTACACTCTGAGGGGGGGGGAGACTGGAGAGAGGACAGCATGGGGCTTCTGGCAAGGCTTTACTGGGCCTAACCACCGTCCCCTGGCACTCACTGAGCTCACGAGGGAGGCCTGCCAGTCCCCCAGAGCCCACAGCCCTAGGTCCAGAAGTGGCTCCTCTTAACAGGTTTTGCCCTAAGTCACAGCCGTTACCTCTGTCCTGTGTGCCCGCCTGAGCTCTAGGCTGGCCCGTGCTGGGTGTCTCTGACTTTGCCTGTGCTCAGCCCTCTACCATGGATGGGCCCTGGGTCCCAGGACCCCCATGTGCCTGCTCCTCACCTCTTGCTTGTCCAGCTGGGAGCTGAGGCAGGCGTGGTACACTGCCTGCGGCCTGGTCTGCTCACTGATGTTCCTGGCCTGGGTGGTCACAGACATGCAAAGGCGGCACTCTGGGTCTTGCGGCAGCCACTCCCCTGGCAGGGCTTCCAGAGTGGGCGGGACTGGAGAGGAAACAGTCAAGGCTGCTGTGCAGAGGTGTGGGGTTCCTGCCACCCCCCCCCCACATGGCAGGGGGACTGGAGAAGGAGAGGGTGGTGCAGGGCCAGGACGGAGGGAAGGGGGGAAGTGAGCCATGGGCTGTGGGCTGGGGTAGCGGACAGTAGGCTCACCTTGGCCAATGCTGTCCACGCTGGAGCACCGGAGGACAAGGCCACAGACCAGCTGGGGCAGCACATGGCCCAGTAGCACCTCCAGCAGAATGACAGTGTAGCGTTCGGCCAGGCACTGACAGATACCGCCCACCACCAGGGGTACCACGTGGCACACCTGTGCCACAGCCATGGCCAGCACACCCTGAGGTGGGGGCAGAGAGAGGGCAGGGTGGGACCTTCCCTTGGGCAGGCTCTGGTGCTGGGCGCTCGGCATAAGGCCCCTGTTGCTCTTCAGGAGGGATGATAGTTGCACACCAGGTTGCTGAGGACGGAGGGTCTAGGGGACTTGGGACTGACGTGTAGCCACTGAGTGTGCAGGAGCCAGCAGGGAGACAGACTCGCTGCAAGACTGTGGCTAGCCCAGAGAGGCGGGGAAGCTGCATCTTCCCTCTCCAGGCTCAGAGCTCCTCTCTGGCTCAGAGCCAACAGGTGTGTGGTTTTAGGAGCCCCTGCCTGGGGCAGCCTGCAGTTTCCCCACTCTTTCCCAATTGCAAAGACAACCTGTGAGCTGAAGGCAGGGAGCGGTGAGTGGTTAGCCTGTGGCTTACCCTCCCCTGCCTTATTTACATGCCAAGGTTGACGTTGACCTGCCCCTCTTGAAGCCCCCTGCTGTTCCCCAGTGCCAGGGGGCTGGGGTAAGAGCAGGGCTCAGGGAAGTGTTCTCTGGACTATGGCACCTTCCAGATGGACACGTGTGGTGACACGAACTCCCACTGGGTCTCCCCTCCAGCTGCGATGACTACGGTGGGCTGTCCTTCCTCTGCGAAAGGCCAGCCTGGACCTGTGTGCCCTGCGTCACCCCTTCTCTCTTCCACCTTACAACTCCCCGCCTCACTGGCCAGCCCCATCTACATAGGACGCTGGCTGGAAAAGCCTCGCCCACCTCTGCCACCCTTCCCAGAGGACCTTCCTGGAAGAGTGGTCAGTACTCGTGCCGGCCCCTTCCTCTCCCTTTCTTTGCTGGGGCTCCTGTCCCCACCTCACCTCCAGAACAGGTCTCAAGGTCACCGACACCCTCCCTCTCACCAGATCCACTGTTGGTGTCCTCTCTCGCTTGGTTTTTGAAGCACTTGCTTCCTCCTGGCTCCCATCTGGTGGGCAGTCCCTCAGGTTCCTCTGCTTGTCTGAGCTGCCTGTGCAGCCTGCCCACTTCCGGTCCCCCTCCCTGCCCATTTGCTGTCTCTCTGCAGCCTCACCCCTTCCCCTGGATTCCAATTTGGCCCACAGCCAGTGACACCCAGAGTCCCCCAAAGCCTGGTGTTCAGCCTCCTGCTCCTGTGTCACACAGGCGTCTCCAACTTAACGTGGCCAGGAGAGACGCTCTCTGCCTGAACCTATCAAGTTCACCCATCTCAGCTGGCACATCACGGGAGAGCCTCGGTCTACAGGCATCAGTGGTATTCCTCTCATTCTCACTCTCCGAGGCTGTCCATTCTAGGGCCTCTGGAGCCCACCTTCTTAGCTCCAAGCCCTGCCCAACACCTCTCCTTGTGATTTCTGCAGTGATGTTGTGAGAAACTTCCTTCATTGTCACCTCCCACCTGCCCGATCCTCTCTGCACACCGCGGGGGAGAGACTGAGACCCTCAGGAAGCCGTCAGCTGCACGTTTCTGAAGTGGGCTTAGAGTCATCTCCGTGGGCTGGCAGCCCACTCTCCCTTGGGCAGGTCCTCCCCCCCACCTCACGCTTAGCCACGCCCTCCTCAGAACCTCTCCCAGACCCAACAGCCTACGCCTCTGCGGCCATCCATGGCCTCATCCCGAGTGAGTCCCGTGCTCTGCACTCAGCACTGTCCCCGCGCAGGTGGACACTGGGAGCCTCAGTGACAAGGTGGCCTGTGGGGTGCCCTCGGGGAAGGGCTGTGGGCTGATGGGGCCAGTGGTCATGGCCACTCCAGGTCTGCAAAACTCCACATTGGACGCTGCAGGGGCGGGGGTAGGGGGGAGTCCCTCTGGGGAATCCCTGCCTTGGGAGAATTAGAGCAACTTGTCCGCAGAGACTCTGGTCTCACCTCTTCCGAGGCGCCTTGGCCTTGTGCCTGTCACAGCAGGGGCTTCCTGGCTGTCCTATGGACTCTAAGCTGGCACCTGCAGGCCTGAGCAGCGTAGGGGCGGCTCCCCCCTCCCCAGCTGGCCCCGGCAGGGCTGGGATTGGAGCCGGGGATGTCTCACCTTGGGAATCATGGCCTGGATCCGCTTGAGGAGAGTCCTGCAGAGCCAGCACAAGGGCAGGGGGATGGGGAACCGCTGCGCCGACAGATCCTGGCGGGGAGGATCCCGGAGTGCTGCCGGAAGTTGTCCTGGGGCTCTGCCTCCCGCCCCTCACCCCTTTCTCTCCCTCCTGCCCGGAGCTTCTCCTCTGCCTCCTGGCTTTTGCCCTCTGGAGTGCAAGTGTTCCTGGGCCTTAGCTGTGGCCCTAGCTCCCCGGTCCCCACCTCACTGCCTGGAGGGCTCCCTTACCTGCGTGTGGGGCCCAGGCTTTGCTGGGAGGGCCCCCAGCAGTGTGGGGAGGACCAGCTTGTCAGGCAGAGGGTCCAGCGGAGGCTCTGGTGACCCGGGTTGGCACAGGCCCAGGTGCTGGCAGATGGCCTTTGCATTCTAGGGCACAGAGCAGGTGAGGGGTAGTTAGGGGAGGGAGAGAATCCTCGTCTCGCTAGGCTGGCCCAAGGCTCAGAAGTGAGGGCCAATGACTTCGGGTGTGGAATGGCAGGGAGCAGGCCGGGCAGGGTGTGTGTGTGTGCAAGCACTGGGGTGGCCATGGGGTGCATGGAGAAGCAGGTGGGAGGCAGGTCCACAGGCCCTCACAATCTGGCTCTGGAAGTAGGTGATGGTGAGGGGGAAGTAGACGTCAAGCACGTGGTGACACTGGGGCACCAGCAGCTTCAAGGGAAGAACGTCGCACTCATGCTCCAGAAACTTCCGTATGGTGTCCTGGGAGGATAGAGAGGGGGTGGTCAGCCTGGCCCGCCCGAGCCCTGCCCCCACCCAGAGTTCCTGGACACAGGGCAGCTCCCAGGGCAGACTGGCCCCCTTCCCCTTGGGAAAGCCCGTCTCCAGCCGCACAGCTGAGCTTAGTCCCAGGCCTCCTCCTCATACAGGAGACGGCCTCCTTGCTCTCGTCTGTCTCTCTCGTCTCCCAAACCCCAAGCTTCCTCCAGGATCTGGGCCTCATCACCTGGAAAATGGCCTCCTTGGTCATCTTGGTTAGGATGTTGACGATGTCCTGACACTCCTGGCACAGGTCATCCTGGGGAGAGGGCCACGGTGGGGACACGTGAGTGGGTCATGCTCCCAAATCCAGTGACTGGGTGGGGCTCTCCCAGGGCAAGGCGGCTGCCCACCATCCCATGGCATCCCATGCCATCCATCCCATACTATCCATCCTATCTAATCTACCTCAACCATTTATTCCATCCCATTCCCTCCATCAAAGACCCCCTGTTGCCACGCATGGTTGGTGGTACTCACGGCTCCCACGTGTCCCCAGACTTCCTGTAGACAGTGTCCCAGGGCTTTGCACTGCAATGCTTGCTCCAGGCTTTGGCACCAAAACTCAGGGCCCTGAGCACAGGCCAAGGGTGAAGTGGCCCAGACAGCTGCAGTTGGGGGCCAGGGCAGCCTTAGTCAGGGTGAGGCTACATCTGGGTCCCCAACCTCACCCAGCCTTTGCTGGGACTGAACACGCTGGAGTCATGCAGTTCTGGGTCCCACCTGCTCGGGGACCCACCAACTGTGTGGCCTTGGACAGAACCTGCAGTCTCTCTCAGCCTCAACTGCCTCGTCTTTAAACCAAGAATGAGGCCTAGACCTAGGCCAATACCTGGCACGGGGCAGTGCTCAGTAAGTGGTGGAGACCCCTATGATGGTCCTTCCACACCTGTCCCAGGTGAGAGGGAGGTGAAGAGGGGCTGGGGGGACTCACCAGTGCCTGGGCCACAGAGTGTGGGCAGCAGCAGCAGCAGCAGCCACGGCGGCAGGTGTGACTTGGCCATGACGCCGCCAAAGCCTGGGTGTCCTGCTTGGGGCAGAGGATCTTATAGCTGGGGGCGGGAGCATGGAACAGGGCTCTGTGGGGGCAGTGGTGACCTCAGTGTTTGCCTTTGTCCTGGAGAGCCCTCCAGGTGTTTTGAACCAGCCCCTTCCCAGCAGGGGCATTCCTGCCCTCCTCCCCTGATTTGGGCTGGTGGCCACTTCACTTTCCCTTTGTCCCTGCCCCGACTCCCACAGGCCTGGGTTCCTGGATCCTTCTGAACAGGGGCCCTTTTTGGTCTCCACACCTCGTCCCACCTCTCCAGGCTGAGCAGGGGAAGCCGATGCACGGCTGGGGTGGCCAGGGTGATCCCTCTGCCACCCTCTCCTCCCAAGTCCTCCTCTGCTCTTGTGCAATGGCCCTAAGAGCTTCCTGCCTGGCTCTTGACCCAGGGCAAGCACCAGAAGGGCAAACCCAGGACCCTCCAAGCCCTTCTTACCTTTTCTCCTAGAAAAATTCCTCTGGTTCTATAGGTTAGTGAGAAGAGGGTTTACATGGAACAAAGTGAGCCAAGAGTCAGAGAGGAGGATGGAGGGTGTGGGGGACGGGCTTCAGTGGGCCCCTCCAGGGCAGGCACACAGCTGGCAGTTCAGGAGAAGCTGTCCTGAGTGGCTTCGGTGGCTCTCAGAGGGGGTCCCCACCATGCGGGCACACTGGAGCAGAAGCTCTAAGCCGACTTGCCCATGAGTGGAGGAGGAGAGCGTGAGCTCACCGACATCTCCCTGGCCAGGATCAAGGTTAATTTATCTGGTTGCTGCATGAACTCTCTCCCTGGCGGAAGCTCACAGGTGTCCATCTCCAGGAAGCACTCCAGGGCTCTTGAATTAGTACCACGATGAAAACAGCTGCACCCAAGGCGGTTGAGTGACACACTCAAGGTCATTGTCCAGGACTCACATAGTTTCTGTTGGCCTCAAGCCCTTGTCAGTTTGACAAACACAGTTGCCATCATGGGAATTGATCAAGAGTGTGAAAACACGTGCCCAAAGATTGGGAGGGCAGGCACTTGGTACAGCAGTTAAGGAGGTTGAGCCTCCTCTTCTCTCTCGCTCTTTCTCTCTCTTCTCTCTCTCCCTCCTCTCTCGGCTTGCTCGCTCTCTTCTCTCCTCTCTCCTCTCTCTCTCTTACTCTCTTTTCCTTCCTCACCCCTTCCCTCTGGCCTGCTGGATTTTCCCCCACTAAACCCTTCCCCTTACTCCAGTGTTTGGTGTGTTTTGTGGCGACCTTACATTGGTGCCGTGACTCGGATCCAGGCTCCCCCAGTGACCTTGCTCTCCTTTTGGGGATCTCTGAGCTGCTCTGGGGTCCTGGATTTTTGCCAGTCACAAAACACACCCCCAGAACTCCTTCCATGTCACCAAACACTTCATGATCTCCATCCACACACGGGTCTTTCAAATTCTGAGCATTTAGAGGAGGTGATAATGGAACGAACCAAGGCCTTCAGCAACCAGGCGGTCAACCAAATGCTGCTACAGGGATATGCTCGGCTCCCCACCCAGGAGACAGCGGCTTGAGACATCGCCCCATGCCAGCAGAGAGCACCTCATCACCCCATGTCAGCAGGAAGTAGCTCTAAAGACAGATCATCATCCCTCTACCCCTCCTGGACTTTTGGGACTAATGTAATCCCATACAACTTCTTCTTTATAAAAAAACAAAAGAGGGGAATGTTAGGAAAATGGCGCAGTCTTATCTATGGCGCAATCTGCACCCTGACACCATCCTAGGCTCTAGCCCCCGCCACCATTGCTGGAAGCCAGGTGGCCACATGGCCCAACCACCAGTGTTAAGCTCCACCCCCATCCTAATGGGATTCACTGCTTCTGCTTCCCTGCCCACCCTCCAGCGAAGTTTTAAAAGGACCTGTTCCTGAACACGTGGCTCTCTCTCCTCTCTCCTCTCTCTTCTCTCTTCTCTCCGTTTTCTCTCCTCGCTCTCTTGTCTCGCTCCTCTCCTCTCCTCTCCTCTCTCAAGCTCTCTCTCTCCTCTCTTTCTCTCTCTCTCTTACTCTCTTTTTTTCCTTCTTTGCCCCTTCCCTCCAGTCTGTCAAGTTTCCCCCAATAAACTCTTTCCCTTAAGAATAAAAAAACCCAGGTTAAGATGCCTACATCCTGGGGCCGGCGTGGTGGCATAGTGGTAAAGCTGCTGCCTGCAGTGCTGGCATCCCAGATGGCCACAACGGCCAGGACTGGATCAGGCCAAAGCCAGGAGCCAGGAGCCTCATCCAGGTCTCTCACGTGGGTGCAGGGGCCCAAGCACTTGGGCCATCTTTTGTTGCTTTCCCAGGTGCATTAGTAGGGAGCTGGATCGGAAGTGGAGCAGCCGAGGTTCAAACTGGCATCCATATGGGATGTCAGTGCTGCAGATGATGGCCTAACCCATTGCGCCACAGTGCCAGCCCCTGAAAGTAATTCCAAAAACAACCTCTAAAGCAATTTAATCAACTTTATTCACAGAAAAATACAGTTAGAGGACTAGTACTAGCCCCTGATTAATTCTGATCTGTGACCCCTCACGCCGAATGATCCATGTTGTTTTGAGAATGGGATCTACACCATCGAGACACACCTTGATTTTGATTCACCATTTTATTGAATTCCTTGGAATTTTCTATACATGGGATCATATCATCTAAAAATAGATAGAGGTAGTCAAACCTGTTCTGTCCAGTCTGGATGGATTTGACTTCATTTCTTTGCCTAATAGCCCTGGCTGGAATCCTCAGGACACTGCTGAATAAAAGCCAAGGGAGCAGAAAGTCCTGGTCATGTTCCTCGTCCCCAGGGGAAAGCATTTAGTCTATTTATTTATTTATTTGAAAGGCAGAGACAGGCACACACACACACACACACATTTACTCCCCAAATGCCCACACCCGCAGGGGTCTGGAACCCAACTAGGTCTCCCACGTGGGTGGCAGGGACCCATGTCCTTGAGCCGTCACCTGCTGCCTGCCAGAGTGTGCATTCGCAGGGAGCTGGAATTGGAAGGAGAGCGGGGCTTGAACCCAGGCACTGTGACACAGGATGCAGGCATCCCAGGTGGCGTCCTGACTGCTGTGCCAGAGCCCAGCCCCAGAGAACGTTCAGTCTTTCACCATTAAGTGTGACTTCAGGTTTGGGCTTTCCAAAGTCACCCTCTATCAGGTTGAGCAAGATCTCTTCTCCTTTCAGTCTGTTGGCTGCTACATAAAAAAGAAATGTTAGATTTTGTCAATGATGTTTCTGCAGCTTCCGAGAAGAGAATGTGCTTTTTATTTTTTTATTTTATTGATGTGGTCAATTCTATCAGTTGATTTTTGGATGCTAATTCACCTTGCATTCCTAGGTAAATCTTACTGGGTCATGGTGTATAATTCTTTAAAATATCTATTTAATTAAAATTTATTTGTGGGGCCGGCGCTGTGCCATAGTAGGCTTGAAGGTGTCCGGCGCATAACAAATCTTTCCAGGCAGATGAATCAATTAATTCACAGGCTTTTATTGGGATTCCGCTCCCTGGCGAGGTTCACCGGACCTAGCAGAGCAACAGAGCGGGGGCCGGGGAACTCGCGCGTCAGAGGGCTCCTTTTATAGATACAGGGCATGGGGGTTAAAGGTTGAGGTAGGTCTGATCCTCACTGGTTGACCTTCAGGCACCCGTGGGGACCTTGACAGGGACTTTTGATTCCCAGAAGTGCGGGTAGAGACTCTCCATTCCCGGAAGTGTAGGCCTTCTCTCCTTGCAGATCCCAAAACTACCATAGGCTAAGCCTCCACCTGCAGTGCTGACATCCCATATGAGCACTGGTTTGAGTCCTAGCTGCTCCACTTCCGATCCAGCTCTCTGCTATGGCCTGGGAAGTCAATGGAAAATGGCCCAAGTCCTTGGGCTCCTACATCCATGTGAGAGACCCAGAAGAAGCTCCTGGTTCCTGGCTTTGGGTCAGCCCAGCTCTGGCCTTTGGGGCCATTTGGGGAGTGAAGCACCAGGTGGAAGACCTCTCTCTCTCTCTCTCTCTAACTATCCCTTTCAAATAAATAAATAAATAAGTAAAATCTTTTAAGAATTTATGCATTTGAGAGGGAAAGTGAGTGAGAACATGCACACCCTTGGGGCCGGTGCCATGGCTCACTTGGTTAATCCTCTGCCTGCGGTGCCGACATCCCATATGGGTGCCGGGTTCTAGTCCCGGTTGCTCCTCTTCCAGTCCAGCTCTCTGCTGTGGCCCAGGAGGGCAGTGGAGGATGGCCTAAGTCCTTGGGCCCTGCACCCACATGGGAGACCAAGAGGAAGCACCTGGCTCCTGGCTTCGGATCACCGTAGTTCCAGCCATGGCGGCCATTCGAGGAGTGGACCAACAGAAGGAAGACCTTTCTGTGTCTCTCTCTGTCACTGTCTAACTTTGCCTGTATAATTAAAAAACATGCATACCCATTTGTTGATTTACTTCCCAAATACATTGCAATGACTGAGGCTGAGCCAAGGTCAAAGCCAGGAGCGAGGAACTCAATTCAGGGTGGCCTTAGCAGGAAGCTAGAACCGGCAGTGGAGCCAGGACTTGAACCCAGGTACCCTGGTAAGTATCTCAAGTGGTGTCTTAACTGCTGGATCCATTGTTTTCAGTGTCCCAGGCACAAATTGCTTTCTAATGGAATCCAAAAAATGCAGGCTCCTTTGTAGAGGTGATGCCCAGCACAGTCTGAGCAGTTCTGATTGGCAAGATCCGCCCTTTTCCCAATTTCTGTCTAGAAAACTAGCCAGCCTGCCGTCTAGCTGCATCTCCAGTGGACCTGTTGACTGCCTCCCAAATATTTCCCTGCAACTCCCACCTTTATTGAGAGGACCCTTCAACTTGAACCTCACTCCACGGTTGCACGTGAAGTCAGTTCACCTGGAAGGGCTTTGAGGCTCTCGGCTGCTGTCTGGGGGACTCTTTGGGCCAAGGCCCTGGTGCTGGCAGTGGGGATGACAGGGTGCTTCTCTC